GGGTCCAAAGTCAGCAGACCGGGGCGGGGTCACCTATTCACAGCACACGGGGCTCCTGGCGGTATGCTGCCCCCTGCCTCAGAGTGAGTCACATAAGCAAGAGGACAAAGAAAAAGAGGCAAACAGAGAACTTGAAACAGGAAAACCTCCTCACAAACCTCCTTTGAATTTCCTTGTCTATTTTTTTTAATATGCCATGAGTATGGTGTTAGAAATATACTACGACTTATGAAGTTTTCTCTTTGGAGAATGTTTCAGATTTTCTGAGTGAGCTCGTTGCAAGTAAAGTTTCATGTTGTATGTTCATTAAAAATCTGTCAGATGTGAGAGGATTGCCTGAGTCCAGGGGTTCGAGACCAGCCTGGGGAGCTTGGCAAGACCTCATCTCTACAATAAATCAAAAAATTAGCTGGACATGGTGGTGCACGCCTGTAGTTCTGGCTACTTGGAAGGCTGAGGCAGAAGGATTGCCTGAGCCCAGCATGTCAAGGCTGCAGTGGCTGTGAGCGTGCCACTGCACTCCACCCTGGGTGACAGAGTGAGACTCCAACTCAAGCCTGTAATCCCAGCATTTTGGGAGGCCGAGGCAGGAGGATTGCTTGAGCCTAGGAGTTCGAAATCAGCCTGGGCAACATAGCGAGATCTCATCTTCACACACACAAAAAAATTAGCCAGGCATGGTGATATACGCTTGTGGTCCCAGTTATCTGGGAGCCTGAGGTGGAAGGAAGAATTGAGGTGGAGGCTGTGGAGAGCTGTGATCATGCCATTGCACTCCAGCCTGGGCAATAGAATGAGACCCTGACTTGAAAGGAAGGAAGAAAGGAAGAAAGGAATCTATCAGATAGAAGAAATATTCAGAAATGTTTTAGGCCAGAGGCCTAAGTAATCCACTGTGAGGTTGAGGAAAATATTGGCACTACTATTTATATTTCTTCTTCTTCTTTTTCTTTTTTTTGAGTCGAAGTCTCACTCTGTCCTCCAGGCTGGAATACAGTGGCACGATCACGGTTCACTGCCACCTTGACTTCCTGGGTTCAGGCGGTCCTTCTGCTCCAGCCTTTCGAGTAGCTGGGACAACAGGTGGGCACCACCACGCCCAGCTAATTTTTCTATTTTTTTTGCAGAGATGAGGTCTTGCTATGTCACCTAGGCTGGTCTCAAACTCTTGGGCTCAAACAGTCCTTCTACCTCGACCTCCTATATTTATTTTCAAAATCCCATTCTTTGTGTGTTTTTTGATGTATGTGATTTTCTGTTCCAGGCAAATTACTAGCTGCCCTAACAGACAGATCCCCAACTCTCAGTGGTTCAACGCAACAGAAACCGGTGTCCTGCCCAAGTCCCATCCTGGATGGGGGGCTGGGGGGTTCCTTCCACGTGGTCCAGAGGCCCAGGGCCCGTCCACCTCTTGGCTCCGCTGCCACCCGGGTCCTCTTCAGGCAGTGAGCGGGCAGCGGGAACTTTGCGTGCCATCTGCTTACCCATTTGGCCCAGCATGCCCTATCGATTTCATCACCTTTCCCTGGCAAGAAGTGGTTTCACCCACAGCCGAGGGGCTCCTGCCCCACGGGGTCTCGCCTGTACCGGGGCAGCTCCACCCCCTTCTTTGCCCTCAGTCTCCACCTCTTCTACAGTAGGGCACGTGTTTATTTTTGTGGGGCTACATGATCAGAAACGTTTGGAGGCTCGCAATGAAGGAACCACCAGAGTATTTAGATGCCAGGCACAATTTGTTTCTCTTTTCCTTCCAAAATGATACACGATGCTTTTGTTTCAGTTGGGGTTTCATTGTATCGCCCTGGTTGGAGTGTAATGGCATGGTGACACAATCAGACGCACTACAGCCTCGACCCCCTGGTTTGGGTGATCCTCCCATCTCAGCCTCCCGAGTAGTTGGGACTACAGATGCGCACCACTGTGCCCAGCTAATGTAAAACATTTTTTTTTTGCAGAGACGATGTTTCGCTAGGTTGCCCAGGCTGGGCTCGAGCAATCCGCAGCCTTCCCGTCTGGGTTTCCCACAGTGTTGGGATTACAGGCGTGAACCACCACACCTGGCAGTCACATCTTTATATGAGCGATGAGTTTGTTAATGAAGTATTTTTTTCTTACCCAGGTTTGAGAGATGGTTGAATGATCACTGGGGAGCTCTGTCCCATGTAATTGAAGCATAAGCTAAGAAAGTTGAGCTGACCTAGTCACAGATTTCTGGGGGATTATATTGAAAGAGGGAAGAATTATGCTTTGTAATCCTACTTTCTTTTTTCCATTAAGGAAAAAAACATCCCTAATGGTGACCCAGACTGAGACACAAACCCCTGGCCTAGGCCCTTCAACAACTAGCACGATCTGTTTCTGGGTCTATTGCCTACGTTCTTTAAGTATTCAAACTTCAAGGCTCATTTAAGGAAGGATGGGGGAGTCTTGTATAGTCCTGCAGATTATGGCACTTCCACCGGGATCCGCTCAAGACCTCTTCACAAATTCCATTCAGGTTCTTTCTGGTGGTGTGGTTGTCACTAGAGAGTTTGGGCAGCCTCACCGTGATCACTTGGGGGTGCAGATGAGGAAGGAGGGTGAATATAATTCATCTTTTTTCCCCCTTTGCTAGGTGCAGATAAATTAATTATGGTTCTCATAGAGATGTTCCTTTCCGCTTAAAATAGTATCCAATTTTCCATCCAAGTCGTTTTTTTTTTTTTTTTTTTTTTTGCTTGAGTCGGATTCTCACTCTGTCGCCCAGGCTGGAGTGCAGTGGCATGCTCACAGCCAATGCAGCCTCGACCTGCTGGGCTCAGGCAATCCTTCCACTTCAGCCTTCCAAGTAGCTGGAAATACAGGCATGTGCCACCACACCTGGCTAATTTTTTGATTTAATGTAGAGACGAGGTCTTGCCAAGTTGCCCAGGCTGGTCTCAAACCCTTGGGCTCAAGCAGTCCTCTCACCTCTGCCTCCCAAAGTGCTAGATTTACAGGTGTGAGCCACTGTGTCTGGCCCATCCAAATCTATGAATACAGGTAATTTGATTTGACATTAGGACAGGGTTTTGAACTCCTGAGACAGATGGTGTTGCCATTTGATTCTCTGCTGTGCATCCGTCAGCCTGGGCTCTCAGGCCTTAGTTTCTTTCTCCATAAAATGTGAATGAGATGTGCTTGGCAAGGCATGGTGGCTCATGCTTGTAATCCCAGCACTTTGGGAGGCTGAAGTGGGAGGATCGTTTGAACCTAGGAGTTCAAGACCGGCCTAGACCACCTAGAGAGACCCTGTCTCTACAGAAAATTAGAAAATTAGCCAGGCATGGTGGTGCACACCTGTAGTCCCAGCTCCTTGGGAGGCTGAAGCAGAAGGATCACCTGAGCCCAGAAGGTCAAGGCTGTGGTGAACCATGATCATGTCACTGTACTCCAGCCTGGGCAATAGAGCAAGACCCTGTCTTGAAAGGAAAAAAAAAAAGGAAAAAAGAAAAGGAAGAAAGAAATGTGCTCATTCATCTACTTCAGGAGGCTTTAGGGGAATTATTAATATTTAAAGACTACTTTTTAATGTTCTAAGTAACTCAAGTGGAAGGAAATGGATATGAGGGAATTTTTTATTTTTTTGAGTTGGAGTCTCACCCTGTCACCCAGGCTGGAGTGCAGTGGCATTCTCACAGTCACTGCAACCTTGACCTGCTGGACTCAAGCTATCCTTCTGCCTCAGCCTTCCAAGTAGCTGGAACTACAAGCGTGCACCACCATACCCAGCTAATTTTTTGGTTTGTTGTAGAGACGAGGTCTTGCCAGATTGCGCAGCCTAGTCTCAAACCTGTGAGCCCAGGCAATTCTCTCTCCTCTGCCTCCCAAAGTGCTGGGATTACCGGATTACATCATGCCCAGCTGTTTTTTGTTTTGTTTTGTTTTTGAGTTGGGGATCTCACTCTGTCACCCAGGCTGAAGGGCAGTGGCATGATTATGACAATCACGGCTCACAGCAGCCTCGACCTCCTGGATTCAGGTGATCCTCCCACCTCAGATTCCCGAGTAGCTGGAACTACAGGCATATGCCACCATGCTTGGCTAATTTTATTTTGGATGCAAGAGAATTTTTTAAAGGCGAAATCTGTTTAGTGTGAATTGAGTAATCTCCTGGGTTCTTTAGATAAGATCTGGAGTGGTCTTTAGATTCATGGCTGTCTACTGGAAAAGAACTGTGACCTACTTTTACTGCTGACAGTGTATACACGGGAGAGTGATTCTCGGACCCGCTCTGAGGATAACCATGTTTGAATCCCACCTTGAAAGATTCATTTTAGTTTGTTTGTTTGTTTGTGTGTGTGTTTGTTTGTTTGTTTTTGAGTTGGAGTCTCACTCTGTCGCCCAGACTGAGGGCTCCGGTGATCCTTCCGCCTCAGCCTTCCAAGTAGCTGGAACTACAGGTGCGCGCTACCACGCCCGGCTAATTTTTTGATTTGTTGTAGAGATGAGGTCTTGTCTCGAACCCGCGGGTTCAGGCAATCCACTCACCTCGGCCTCCCAAAGTGTTGGGATTACAGGCTGAGCCACCAAGCCCGGCTGATTCATTTTAAATGTAAGGATAATTTTCCAGCATCTTGGGAGGCCAAGACAAGAGGATCACTTGAGGCCACGAGTTTGAGCCCAGCCTGAGCAACATAGTGAGACTTTGTCTGTACAAAAATAAAAAATAAAAAAATTAGGCATGGTGGTGCTTGCCTGTAGTCCCAGCTGCTTGGGAGTTTGAGGTGGGAGGATTGCCTGAGCCTGGGAGGTAGAAGCTGCAGTGAGCCATGAGTGTGCTACTGAACCAGCCTGGACGACAGAGTGAGACTCTGACTCAAAAAAAAAAAAAGAAGTAAGGGTCATTTAAGTGCCTTAATGTAAGAATACAATGAACACTTGTGTTAGAATACAATGGACATTTACCTCCAGATGAAAAATCAATGGTCTGGTGGAGAGTTTTCTCATAAAATAACCCCTCTTTATTTTTTTTTCTGCAGACAAAACTGCGTGGAGTTTTATCCTATATTCATGATTACATTGTGGATGGCTGGATGGTATTTCAACCAAGGTAATTTTAAAATACAGTCAGCTCTGTTCTAATATCACTGCGGTACTTAAAACCATCAAGGAACAGATATGCATCTATATGGCTATGGATCCTGGAAACTATTTTATTGATTAATTGATTGAGCCTCACTGTGTCACCCAAGCTGGAGTGTAGTGGCACACTCACTGGCCACCCCAGCATCGACCTGCTGGGCTCAGGCGATCCTTCCGCCTCAGCCCTCCAAGTAGCTGGAACTACAGGCGTGTGCTACCATGCCCAGCTAATTTTTTTAATTGATTTATTGTAGAGATGAGGTCTCATCAGATTACCCAGTCTGTTCTCGAACCCATGAGCTCAGGCAATCCCCTCACCTCAGCCTCCCAAAATGCTGGGATTACGGACTTGTTACCATGTCCGGCCCCTGGAAACCATTTTAAACAGAATAAGCAATATCTGTCTGCAACAAAGAAGGCTGTGTTGGCCTGGTGTAGTGACTCACTCCTTGGTAGTAGTACCTTGGGTGACTGAGGCAGGAGGATTGCTTGAGCCCAGCAGTTTGAGACTAGCTTGGGCAACAGAGCGAGGGCCCCATCTCTACAAAAGAAAAAAGAAAAAAAGGAAAGTGGTGTTGCTAAATTTGGCTTCATTCCAATTTAATTCAGTAATTTAAAAAAATATTGATACAAACTCTATGCGGGGCACTGAAGGATGAAAATGACAGGAGCTTTGTCTTTAAATCTAATAATCTTAAACGACGCAGGGGTTGAGGTGCTGACCCCATGCCGTTTTGAAAATGTAACTTTTGACATCCCCAAAATTTGCCTACTAATATCCCTACTGTTGTCTGGAAGCCTTACTGGTAACATAAACAGTCGGCTTGCACAGATCTTGTGTGTTATATGCACCGTATACTGTATTCTTATGATAAAACAAGCTAGAGAGGAGACAGTGTTATTACAAAAATTCTAAGGAAGAGAAATGCCTATTTACTGTTCATTAAGTGGAAGTGGGTCATCCTACCGGTCGTTATCCTTGTTGCTTTCACGTTGAGCAGGCCAAGGAGAGGGAGGAAGAGGAGGGACTGGTCTTACCATCTCAGGCAGAGGCGGCAGTGGCAGAAAGGGAGGCGGGGAAGACAGGGACGTGTGGTGCCACTTTACAGAAACGCATCATCATCTCTCTGGTTGTTTTGCTTTTTCACTTCTAAAAATAAGAAGGGACCCATCCTTCTTCTACCATTTGCGTTAGTCTCAGTGCCCATGTCATAAAAGAAGTCGGAAGCAGTCTTAAAGAAGCAGAACCCTTCTGCCAGATTGTCTGATGTCGATTTGTTTCCTGTCACTGCTTCCCCTCATATCTTCTTCCTCACCATCTAGTACTGATTCAGAAACCCCCTTTCTCCATCAAGTCATCTCTTAATTCCTCTGGTGTAGTGTCGGTTAGCTCTCGGATATATTCAAGATTCCTATGTTGAAACCCTTTACTCCCCATCCTTTTTCTTCCCACATCTACAATCTCTTTCATGATTTCCTTTATCGGCTCTCTTGTAAATCGTGTGAGGTCATACACAACATCAGGACACATTTTTCTTCCGTGGGAATTTATTGTTTTGGGCTTGATGGCTTTCATGGCTTTTTCTGTAACAGCGATGGCATCTTCAATGGTGGAATCCTTCCAGATTTTCGTGATGTTCTATCGGGGTTCCCATCCACAGTGTTGACAATCCTTTCCATGGAGCACCTTGTGTCATGAGCCTTCAAGTTTTTTATGAGCCTCTGATCTAGAGGCTGCATTAGAGACCTTGTGTTCAAAGGCGAGTAGACCATTTTGATACCTTCAGTGTTGAATTCATGGGGTTCTGGGTAGCCAGGGGCATTGTCCAATATCAAACAACCTTTAAAAGGCAGTCCCTTTACTTGCAAGATACTTTCTGACTTCAGGAACAAAGCATCAATGGAACCAATCCAAAAGAAGGGTTCTTGTTGTCCAGGCCTCCTTTTACAATCACAAGACTGGCAGTTGGTGTTTATCTTTTCCTTTCAAGGTTCAGGAGTCAGCAGCATTATAGCTAAGGGAAGTCCTGATGATAAACCCAACTGTATTTACACAAAACAGCAGCATAACCTATCCCTTCCTGCCTTAAATCCTGGTACTCGCTTCTGCCTTACTAATAAATGTCCTTTGTGGTTTTTTTTTCCTAGACAAGAGCACTTTTGTCTACATTAAAAACCTTGTCAGGCAGATATCCCTTTTCCTTAATGATTTTCTTAATGGTGTCTTGAAACTGGTCTGCGGCTTCTTGCTTGGTAGAAATTGCTTCTCCTGTTATCTTGACTTTGTAAAAGCCAAACCTCTTTCTAAAGATATCAAACCATCCTTTGCTGACATTAATTCTATAGCCCTAGATCCCTCATATTCCTTTTGCTTTAATTTCTCATATAATGATGTTTCTCAAGTCATACTAAGGTCTATAAGTATGGTTTTCTTTTAGCAATCTTGTACTCACATAAAAGCTGTATTTTTGATATGAGAGAAAAAGGTATTTTGCAAAAAGTACAAGGTTTTTGCCCCTGCTGGTGTAGCTGCAGCTATGGATTTATGAATTTTCCCTTCTTCTTGTTTTTCTTCTTCTTCTTCCTCTTTCTCTTCTTCCTCCTCTTCTTCTTCCTCCACTTTCTCTTCCTCCTTCCTCCCTCTTCCCCATCCATCTCCCCCTCCTCTTTTTCTTCTCCTCTCCTTTCTTCTTCTTCCTCTTCCTCTTCCTTCCTCCCTCTTCCCTCATCCATCTTCCCCCTCCTCCTTTTCTTCTTTTCCTCCTCCTTCTCCTTCTTCTTCCTCTCCTCCTCCTCCTCTTCCTCTTCTTTCTTTTTCTTCTTTGGTGGTCCCTACACTGAATTCATTTATCTTGAAATGGCAGGCAACCACAACTGCAGACCTCAATCTACAGTACATACTAAGCAAGTCAGCTCTTTCTTGTAATATCATGACTTTTCTCTGCTTCTTGGGAACACTTCCAGCATCAGTAGTACTCTGTATGGGTCTCATGGTGTTATTCAGAGTTTATGATGTTGCCTTAAACAAAATGAAGAATAGGTGAGAACTGCAAGAGATCGCTTTTTCTTTTCATTTAGAGTCAGAATCTCACTGTTACCCGGGCTGGAGTGCAGAGGCACGCTCATGGCCACTGCAGCCTCGACCTGCTGGATTTAGGTGATCCTTCTGCCTCAGCCTTCCAAGTAGCTGGAACTACAGGTGTGCGCTACCACTCCTGGCTTAGTTTTTGATATATTGTAGAGATGAGGTCTTGCCAAGTTGCCTGGGCTGGTCTTAAACTCCTGGGCTCAGGCAATCCACTTGCCTCGGCCTCCCAAAGTGTTGGGATTATAGACTTGAACCACCATGCCCAGCCAAGAACTACAAGAGATCATTTTTATTGTGATACACAACTTACATGAGAGATGAACAGCTCATTGGAGATGACTGGTGTTGCATGGTGTTTTAAGCAGATACTCTCAGCACTGGAATTCACCACAATAGCAACTAGGATATGGCTATGAAATTATTAGAGTTGTACAGTGTTACTGCAGATAGTTTTGTACAGTTATGATTCAATATTGCATCCTTGCATTTGCTTAAATTTCTCTTGATTGCAAATGGCACCACTATGGTCTGCAAGTGTTTGAGTAAGTTTTGGTAAATTTTAACTTGTTTTTAGATTTGTGTATATTTTATGGTGGCAAATGGTAGAATAGGCCAGTATCCACATATATTTTATACATTCATTACATGTCTAACTTTTTCTTAATTTTTTTCAGTTATTCTAGGCTATGTGGTTCATTTGTGAGTTTTGTCAATTTGCTGCAAATCTCCAATAAGTTTTTTCAATATATTTATTGAAAAAAAATCTGTGTATAGCCCATGCAGTTCCGATCTATGTTGCTTAAAGGTCAACTGTAATTCTAATTAACCAAAGGAACAGGACACAGAATTGACAATTCACCTTAATAATTATAACTGGCCAGGAATGGTCACTCAATGCCTTTAATCCCTGCACTTTGGGAGGCTAGGGCAGGAGGATCACTTGAGGCCAGGACTTTGAGACCAGGGCAACATATAGAGACCCCTCCCTTTAAAAAAAAGAAAAGAAAAAAAAAATTAACCATGCCTGGTGCTACAAGCCTATAGTTCCATCTACTTGGAAGGCTGAAGTGGGAAAATTACTTGAGCCCAGGAGGTTGAGACTGCAGTGAGCTATGATTGTGCCACTGTACACCAGTCTGGATGACACAGTGAGACCCTGTCCCAAGATAATAATAATGATTATTATAGCTAATATTTGTTGAGCCTTTACTGTGTGCCAGGTACTGTTTTTAAGTTTTATGCATAACGTTGTCTCGTGTATAAGACTTATAGGATATAAGACCTTCATATGACGCAGTGTCTATAATTAATTCCTACTTTCCAGATAAGGAAACTGGGATGCAGAGAGGTTAAGTAACTTGTCCAACTTGATATTCACTAATGTAGGGAAAATTTCCCTTTCAAGAGCAGAGCAGGGTCCATAGGTATTTGTGCCAACAACCCATGTACCTTTTCTTAAGGGTCCCCCAGGATAAAGTGCTGCTGTTAGTACCGTAGCAATTCTACAAACATCTGCTTTCCATTTGACTGGGGTGTCCTTGGTGAGCTGAGGTCTATTCACTTAATGGGGAATCAGGCCAGCACCTGCTTCCTTAGTTGGAGAAATTCAATCCTCTTTGATTTCTGGTAATTTCCATGGCCTTATTTGGGTTTGCAGTTGATTGCCAAGATTTGCTTTTTTTTTTTTTTTTTGACAGGGGTGATCCTGGCTCACTGCAATCTCAACTTCCTAGGGTCAAGTGATCCTTCCACTTCAGCCTCCTGAGTAGCTAGGACTACAGGCATGTGCCACCACATCTGGCTAATTTATTTGACTTTTTTGCAGAGATGAGATCTCGTTATGTTGCCCAGGCTGGTCTCGACCACCTGGGCTCAAGCAATCCTCCCCCTTTGGCCTCCCAGAGTGCTGAGATTCCAAGGGTGAGCCACTACACTCGGCCTGATTGCCAAGATTTAAATAAACCCAAATCCAGCTGCTTTCAAAAGCAACCCGGGTGGGTCTCAGTGGCTCAGCCTGTCATCCCAGCACTTTGAGAGGCTGAAGCGAGTGGATTGCCTGAGCCTGTGGGTTCGAGACCAGTCTGGGCAACTTGGCAAGACCTCGTCTCTACAATTAAAAAAAAATTAACCAGATGTGGTAGAGCGTGCCTGTAGTTTCAGCTACTTGGAAGGCTGAGGCAGAAGGTTTGCCGGAGCCTAGCAGGTCCACACTGGGGTGGCTGTGAGCATGCCACTACACTCCAGCCTGGGTGACAGAGTGAGATTCCGATTCAAAAAAAAAAAGCAACCCATCACTCTTTCATGTAATTTTTGCTATCAGCTGAGGAAGTTCAGGTAAAATTTCCTTTAGAACAGGGGTCTCCTACCTCCAGGTCACAAACCAGTATGGTCTATGGCCTGTCAGGAACCAGGCTGCTGCACAGCAGGAGATAAGCAGCAGGTGAGTAAGCAAAATTTTGTCTATATTTATAGCCTCTCCCCATCGCTCGTGTTACTGTCTGCTCTCAGATCAGTGGCCTCAGATTCTCACAGGAGCGGGAGCCCTATTATGAATTGTGCCTGTGAGGGACCCTGGTTGCACGCTCCTTATGAGAATCTGCTGCCTGATGGTCTGAGGTGGAGCTGAGGTGGTGATGCTAGCGCTGTCTCCCATCACTCCCAGATGGGACCGTCAAGTTGCAGCAAAACAAGCTCAGGGCTCCCACTCATTCTGCATCATGGTGAGTTGTACAGTTATTTCATGATATATTACAATGTAATGATCATAGAAATAAAGTGTGCAATAAAATGCCCTTAAATCATCCTGAAACCATCCTCCTTCCTAACGCTGGTCTGTGGAAAAATTGTCTTCCATGAAACCAGTCCCTGATGCCAAAAAGGTTGGGCACTGCTGCTTTAGAGTAAGACTCCTTAACTTTATTCCACCTCATACTTGTGTTGCCTAAGGGCGTGAGTGCACGTGACTGTACCTTGTCTGGGAAGACCACATTCACAACTCAGGAGAAAAAGGCCTTTTGGTGATGGGGCCCACCTCTGCCGTCAGACCCTTTGGCTTTCTCTCGGATGGGCTGAAAGAGGCCGCCTGCCTGTCAGGAAAGGATTTCTTGGGTCCGTGGTCAGAATTTCCTTCTTGTTCTTTCTCACCCAAAGTCAGTTGCCTGCTGCCCGTCCCTGAACATTCTCTTGGCTTTTCAGGAGGAATTCACTAGATGGGGAGTCTCAAGACTGTGCAGGATCCTTCGACCTCCTCAGACCCAGGCCCTACCATCTCTGCGTGGACCCCCATTTCCATCCCTCAGAACCCAAGGCAGCCGTCATCCTCCCCCCACAGAGGCCTTCCCTGATCCTTTCCTGTAATTCTTCTCTCCCGTTCCTCTCCATTCCCTTCCCAGCACTTCCAAGTTTGAGTTTTCTTTTCAATTTTTTTTCTTTGTTTGTCTCTGTCTTTGTCAATGGAATATAATCTCTTTAAAGTCAGGGAGCCTGTATCTTTTTCACTGCTAACCCCAATCCTTAGAATAATACTTGGTATGCATAGCAGAAACTAAGGAAAGAATATTTGTGACAAAGTAAAATAATAAATGTAATTTTATTAACATATCACAATCCCACACATAGACCCTGAACGTTTACAGAAGGGATCTGGCCATTGCACCTGTGAAACGCTAAGGCAGAGAGGCTGGTCTCTAACACAGCAAGATGTTGATAGTTTGTTTTCGCTGGACACAACAGCAGAAGATTATCATACGTTTCTTTCTGAGATAAAATTTACATATAATGAAACGCATACATTATAAGAGTTCGATGGGTTTGGACAAGTGTACACATGTGTGTGACTCCAATCCCTACCAAGACGCAGGCATGACCACACTCAGAAGATGTCCTCCTGCTCCTCCCAGCCAGTCTCCATTACCCCTCCCTTCCAGATGCACACACTTCTGATTTTCTCATCATTTAGTTTGGTCCTTTCTAGGACTTCATTTCATTAGAATTGTGCAGTCTGTACCCTTGCGAGACGCTTCATTCACTCAGCAAAATGCTTTTGATATTCACCATATTGTGTACATTTCGGTTTCTTTTTTTTTCCCCTTTTCTTTTTTTTTGAGTTGGAGTCTCACTCTGTCGCCCAGACTGGAGTGCAGTGGCCGCTCCCGGCCACCACAGCCTCGACCTGCTGGGCTCCGGCGATCCTTCCGCCTCAGCCTTCCGAGTAGCCGGAATTACAGGCATGTGCTACCATGCCCGGCTGATTTTTTGATTTATTGTAGAGATGAGGTCTCGCCAAGTTGCCCAGGCGGGTCTTGAACGCACGGGGCTCAGGCAATCCACTCACCTCAGCCTCCCAAAGGCGCGGGATTACAGACTGAGCCACCGAGCCCGGCTCCCTTTTCTTTTTTTAAGTGAAGGTATCACTCTGTCGCCCATGCTGGGGTGCAGTGGCATGATCACTGCTCACCGCAGACTTGAACTCCTAGGCTCAGGTGATTCTCCCACCTCAGTTGCCTGAGTAGCTGCAACAACAGGCATGCTACAGTCACCTCTTGAATTTTTACAGAGATGAAGTCTCACTATGTTGCTTAAGCTGGTTTCAAACTCATGGGCTCAAGCAATTCTCTCACCTTGGCCTCCCAAAGTGAGCCATCATGCCTGGCCTGAAACATTTTTTATATGTTTATTGGCACTTTTTTTTTGAGTTGGAGTCTCACTCCATCACCCAGGTTGGAGTACAGTGGCACGCTCATGGCCACCCCAGCATCGACCTGCTGGGCTCTGGCGATCCTTCCACCTCAGCCTTCCAAGTAGCTGGAACGACAGGTGTGCACTACCATGCCTGGCTAATTTTTGATTTATTGTAGAGATGAGGTCTTGCCAAGTTGCCTGGGCTGGTCTTGAACCCATGGGCTCAGGCTATCCACTCGCCTCAGCCTCCCAAAGTGCTGGGATGACAGGCTGAGCTACCAAGCCTGGCCTATTGGCACTTCTGTTATCTTCTTATATGGGTTCTCTGTGTGCTCTGCATATTTTGTCAGATATATGTTTTATAAGCATTTCTCAGTCTTCACACCATGTCTTAAGAGACTGCTATTGTATTTTGTACCTTGTCTCCCCCCACCCCCTGCAGTTTTTGCAGCTTGTCTGGGTCTGGTGTACATTTACGCCCGTCACCTATACTTTTGGGGATATTCAGCAGCTGCTAAAAAAAGGTAAGGAGAACCCAACAGTTGTGTATTTATGCAGGATGAGGTCTTGGGGTGTATTAATGGCACTGAGGGTTGTGGTAACAAAAGTGACCCATCCCTCCTGAGGCCATGACCTGCCAGGCCATACACAGTTAGATGTAAGGTGGGAAAACGCCAAGTATAAAACACTTGAGTTAAAGAGTGCACTGAATGTGGACTCTTTAAATCCTTGCAAAAATCCTGCATTATCTCCAGAAAGTTACCAAGGAAATAATCCTGCCTGGTTTGATCATCCTTTGAATGTTCAAAGAAGTCACCTGACCTCTATGTCCAGACATTCTCTTTAATTTATGTGACAAACCACCATTTCCAAATGGCAACAACATGGATGTTCTGAGCAGTGTCAGCAATGAGCAGTCTCAGTCAGGCCTCCCAGCTGCCTCGTGCCAGCCTGTGGTGTCACTTCTTTCCTTTATGTCCCCCCTCCAGGGTCACCGGTTTCTACTTGAGTCTGGGGATGTTGGCCTTGCTGACTGTCCTAGGAGCCCTGGGAGTTGCAAACAGCTTTCTGGATGAATACCTGGACCTCAATGTCGCCAAGAAACTGAGGCGGCACTTCTAATTTTTTCTCCTCCCTTTACTTTTGTATTTGCAGAAGATGTTCCCATCCTGAAGGGACTATGGTGTCATTTGTTAAATAAAAAAACACATAAAGGTCTTTAGTCTGTTTTTCTTGAAATAGCTTTGTAGAAACACATTCTTTAAAGAATATGGGGGAACCCCAAAAAACACAAAATTGTTTTTTTGGAGGGCAGGTCCCTTGTAGTGCTGGCTTCCCCCAGCTAGGTAAGTCTTCTACACACCCATCAGCATCAGTGTACCAGTTAGTGTTGTGAGAAGCTGTATTTGGCTTCATGATTTTTTTTTTGAAAATTATTTCATTGTGTTTGCTCATTTTATGATGGATGATTTACAAACACAGCTGCCCACACCACACTGAGTGTTCAGCAGTTTTTGACCAAAAAAGCGACATGACCTCCATGCCCCACCCTCTCTATTCATTGGATCTCACCCCAAGGATTTTGTTTGTTTGTTTGTTTTCCTGAATGAAAAAAGTCCTCAAAGGGAAACGTTTTGCTGATGTGGAAAAAGTGAAACAAAAAAGGGCAGAGGCCCCAAAAGGCACAAAATTGATGAGTTCAAAAACTGTTTTGAGCAGTGGAAAAAGCATCTTGATAGGTGCATTGCAACAAATGGAGAGTAATTTGAAGGTGACTAAAGTTTAAACATGGGAGAATAAATACACAACTTTTTATAAATAAATCCCGGATTTTTGGGGGTCCCATTTTTGAATCGGAATCTCACTCTGTCACCCAGGCTGGAGTGAAGTGGCATGATCACAACTAATGCAGCTTCAACCTGCTGGACTCAGGCGATCCTTCTGCTTCAGGTTTCCAAGTAGCTGGAACTACAAGCACATGCCACCACACTGCTAATTTTTTTATGTATTGCAGGGATGAGGTCTCACCAAGTTGCTCAGGCTGGTCTTGAACCCCTGGGCTCAGGCAATCCTCTTGCCTCTGCCTCCCAAAATGCTGGAATTACAGGCATCAACCACCATGCCTAGCTGAACTGAAATTTTCTTGAGGTGGGTATGTCTGTATCATCAGTGGAAGTGTGTTGAGCCTAGGGGTTAGAAAGCCATGCTGAGGTCAGGCGTGGTGGCTCATGCTTATAATCCTAGCATTTTAGGAGGTCGAGGTGAGAGGATTGCCTGAACTCATGGGTTCAAAACCGTGCTGAAGTCATGACCAGTCACATGGGGAAGAAGTAGCCTTAATGCTGGGTGAGGTATCTTAATGCCAGATGAGGTGTGTTGCTCCATGGGTTCTTTGACTTTGCCACAGGAAAGAATTTTAGAGTGAGTCCAAAGTATAGCTTAAGAAATAATTTATTAGAAAGAAAAGGGACATACTGAAGAAAAAGTTTGGGTACCTTAAGAGAAAGGGCATGTGCTTGTCTTTGACAAGAAGCTTTATATACTTTTACAATAATGGTTAAGCAAACCATGAGTTAAGAGCGGAGAGCTATAGGTATCTGGTCATGCGTGTTGATGACCATCTCTCAACCTTTGAGTTCACAATGACTTTCTTTTTTTTTTTTTGAGTTGGACTCCCACTCTGTTGCCCAGACCGGAGTGCAGCGGCCACTCCCGGCCACCGCAGCCTCGACCTGCTGGGCTCCAGCGATCTGCTG